TCATGACATTTAGCATGGAGGCCTGGGTCCAGCCCAGCGAGAAAACGCCTTAACTTTTCTCCATTTTGTGTCCCGGCATAATACTCAGGAAAAGCCTACGTGACAAGCCTCGAAATATCAGCGGTATATATCTCCAAATTCTCATTAGCCAGCCTAGGCCGAGCAGAAACAAAGGTCAAAAGTATATTATGAACTGTTTCTGTCCAAATGCCTCATTTAACTTCTCTTTAACATGGTCAAAGTCACCTTGCGCATAGCTGCAGGGAGGCTGTCTCACAATAGGATAGCGGCTCCGTCTAGTCTAGTGGGCAAAAGAGCAGCCAAAGTGGCGGTGTAGCTCCGTCTTCCCACTCCTCGGGGAACGGCAGCCTCAAACTGTTTAATCCAAGTAGCGAAGAGTTTACGACCGTTGCTACAAAACGGCGTGGGCAGCTCCACTTTGACATTACGCACATCATCAGTCCAAACTGGGCTATACTTGTCCTTGTCCATGACGATAAAAGAGCCTCCGAACATGGTCCTGTGTAGCTAACAGCCGCCTTCTCATGAGCCACGTCCCGGGGGAAAACGTCGCCACACACCTATGTAACGGGCGAGCTGTAGAGGTTCGGGCTCGTGGTCTCAGGACAAAGAAGAGACAGGCGAAATACCTTTGGAGTACGGGAACACGTCTGCTTTTATATGGAAGCTTCACCAGTCATCGCTACCACAGCCCGCGAACGAATGAGTCTCCACAGAGAGTAACTCCACCCCTAATCCAGCAGCTCAAAGTTAAAGGTGCATTATGGAAGTTAGACGGCCAAAACATGTATAGAAATAATAAATTTCTTCTTCATACATTCTCCTGCAATGCCCTGGTCCTGTAGAATGAGCCCTGGCATTTTTACTGTGATTGCCTGTTTTTCTGTAAAATCACAGAAAAAGAGAGCTGCTCGGGTCAAGCAGGCTGCTTCATGCGCGTTCACGCTTAGGCATAGCCCGTAGCATTTGCTATCAGTAGCTTTAGCTGCAGAGAGTGAGGTAGTGCCAACTCAGCGACTTTGTCGCTGTTCCTAACGTCTAGTGATGAACCTAGCTACATTTCTGAGGACGCTTAGCTACTTTCTTCTAGATATTTCCTGGGAATTAGCAACAAAATAGCCATTTTCGCTCCGAACCGTTCTTTGAACGTTGCTTCAGCTGTCATCAAGGATATAAATATAACAGATACAAAAGACATTACTGGTCCTCTAGCTCACCTAGTTAGACGTTTGACTCTCGTGCTGAAGATCCAGGTTTGATTCTGGATGTGAACATAATTTATTTAGAGTTTATTTTTTACATCAATGAAATATTTTTTACAGTAAGATGCCCAAATTTTTATTTGAGACTCACCGAACGGCTTTGAATTCACAGATAAAAAAGATGTGGGTTCAACTTTCTTTTTGGAACAATTTTTCAAGCAAGGGAAGGGAAGCTCTGTGAAGCTGACGGACTGACCCATCTTAGACCTTTGTCGGCTGTGCTGAAGATAAAGGTACAGAACCAAATTACTTAATTAATTAGCTGCACGTTCTCCTGTCCTCTGTCCTCCGGGCCACACACACACACACACACACACACACACACACACACACACACGCACACACACGCACACACACACACACACACACACACACACACACACACACACACACACACACACACACACACACACAGGACTCTCTCAGCTGTTATTTTCGTTAAGGAGTGTGCACGTACAGCATGCGCGCCTCGTGCACGAGCCTACTATTGAAGCTGCCATTACGCTTTTGGCCTGAGGGGGCAATCGTGAGCATAAAAATTCAAAAGTCCGTAAAGTCCCTTTAACAACACATGCACACAGCACATCACCCGCTTACACTAGTTTGAGGGACCTAAAGGAGGCAAAAAAAAACTACAAAAATAATAAAATCATGGACTGATGGTAACCCGGCTTTGTTGCTACTGGCCTTGTAAGTAATAATGTTTTTTGTCCAACAGTCTGGATCTTTTTGCTTTGTGGTTTCTTTTAGCTGGCTCATGCTAGTGTTAGCTCATTGTTAGCGCTAGTTACAGCAAGCTGCAGCAGGGTTGTTTACAACAGGTGTAATTCCACTTTCAACCAGTAGGGCAGAGCAGCAGGAAATCGCTCATTGTTACTTCAGCAGTGTTGTGACTCGGTATGAACACTAGTGGGAGCTCTCTGTCTGCTTGGCAATAGTTGTTTACTGTGTCCCTAGCTAATTTAAAGGCTAGTGTTGCTTTTTCAATTCATTCAATAAAAAGAAAAAGAAGAATTTTGCTTTTCTTTTGTTAGCATCATGGCACGTTCTGGAAGTAAAAGTATGAGAGAAATATCTTTGGAGGAGAGGCAAAGAGCTGAAACCGAGTAAACATCAGAGCTACCTACACTTGAGAGAGCTGATGGACTGATGACGACCTGGCTTTGATGCTTCTGAACTTGTAAGTAGTAAAATTTTTTGTCCAACTGTATGGGCGTTTTTACTTTGTGGATTAGCATTAGCTTGTTGTTTGTGCTAGCTACATCAGAGTTCTTAAGGACAACTAGTAGGAGAGAGAGGAAGATAACCTATTCAGTGTTGCTTTAAATGAAATTATTCTCAATTGTCACATTTTACCCAAGTAAATGACACCCAATGTCAAACTATTATTTTTTTTATAATGGGAACACAATCCTAACCAGCAAAACCATTTCATCATTGAAAATGTTTCTCAATGCCAAGGAACCCGGCCTTGATGTCTGGGTCCCGCCCCGTTTGCCTAGGGGATACATCATCAGGAGCCGCCAAGACGTGTTCCAATGTTCATGTTCTACCGAGGTGTGTATTCTCCGTTTGTTAGCCGTTTAGCTAGGATACATGGTAGTTGTCTTGTAGTCTTGCCTTGGTCAAAAATTTCCCAGAATACGCCATTGTATTTTCAAAAGGATGGTGGATCAGAAGCCGGCAGCTACTTCGGGGGCAAATCTAAAGTTTAAAAGTAAGTCAACTAATTTAAAATGTATATTTTTTTAGATCCAAAGAAGTTATCTATGGTTGGCTAGTTGCTTATTAGTTGCAACTTCGTGGCTAGCAGGTAATAACTTATTTATTTAATTTAACAAATTAGGGCTTAATTTGAGCCGGATCTTGCCGGAACAAGATCCGGGAACTATATTATTTTGAAAGGACTGTTCCGGCAACTGTCTGCTAGGATCCGGCAACTCGTGCTATACGCAAGATTCGAATTACGGGTGAGCTAGGGAGCTCCTGGAAGCCCTCAACACACCCAGGGAGCCCGAAAACTATCTGGTTCTACTTATATTAAATTATCTATGTGGATTCTCCAGGGATTATTTAGAACTGAGAGGCGCAGAGCTCTGATCATTAATGTGCTCCAGACAGATGCGTCCTGAGCACGGCCACAGTAATATTATCTAAGTGTCACCACCTCAAAAACAAAGTTAACACGCGATCGTTTATGTCGGCTCATATCCTTTCATGCTTTCTGTCATTTATTTGTGCCTGATGTGTTTTGCTGCTGCGGTGCAGAGCGCATCACCTATTTCATCCTCCGGAGATTTCTCCGCACCGGTGCGGTCAGCGCGCGGCGCGCACTCCGCTATATTTGCAGTCGGTAGATCTTTTTGAACTGCAGTTCAAAGGTAACCCATGAGGTGAAATATATGAAGCCAGGTAGCAGTTTTTCTTTAGGATTGAGAGGAGATGCAGGAAGATAAAACAGAGACAGGACAGAAAAATAGTCAAATAAAAACAAGTTAGTTTTCGTACCAGGTGGCTGCAACAAAACAGACACCATTGAAAATAATCAGAAGTGAGGAACAGAAAATGAAATTATTCTTTCAATGTTTAGAGCAGCAGGAACCGTGAGGCTGCAGGTGCAGCAGTGAGTTTGCGGCCGCTGCGTAGAGGGAGGGGGAGAGGGCTGAAGCAGGGGAACAGTAAAGATGCAAAAACTACCGTTGTTAAAAGAATTGTGTGTTAACATAGAAAATGTGGGCGCAAATTGAATTACTTGTCAACCCCCCGTGCGTGTTCTGGAATTTGTATTGCCTTAAGTGAACTTTGGTTTGACATCAGTATTTGCGTTTGATTTACAAATTAATCACTGAACAAATATATACACAATTTGAAAAGTAAAAGGCTCATTATATATTTATATTGAAACTAATACGCATAAAATATAACGTTATCTCCCGTGTCACTTAACGTTATGTGACCACCATGGAAGCTGGGTCACGTGATGCAAGTCTGTTCCATTTAGCAGTTTTCTTTGACCAAGGAAGGACAGTGTCCTTGTAAGCAAGGCGCCTGGCCTCGCAAGACATCGCCTCACAAGGCCAGGCGCTTTGACATTGAGTAACACCCGTGGCATCTAATATGGCATTTCCAAAGACACTAGACCCACGCCCTATGTACTTTAGACCTGGGTTTTATGGTTATATGGTATGAAGCCACCAATATTTTTCAACAACTGGACATAATTATATTCATTTTCAACAACCCTTTGATGGATATTTTCATAGATTATTGGTAAAACTACACATTGTCGCTTTAACACGGAATCTTGACTTCTGATCTCAACAAAGTGAGACCTGTAAATGTTCTTTAGTTCTTTAACCTGTTTAAATTTGGCCTGATGTGTTGCTTTTTCAGATCTTTTAGCCTAGATCATATGACCAGACATGCTCCATTTAGGTTATTTGTTAATTCTACAGATTTACAGCTCTCCAGTGAAACAAAACTTTTTCCAAATAATTGAGTTAATTACAGTCAATTCTTTTCACACAGGGCTAGGTTGATGATGATAGTAAAGATGCATGAAAAGATAGCTACATAAGAATTTCACCCAAAAACAGTGAACTAAGTAACAGTAAATATAATTTAAAACTATAGACATGGTAAATAGAGAGGGAGGGATGCGCAACACATTTCTCCTCAAATTACAAAGTAAAACAGCATCAGGTTCATTCAGGGAAAACATTAGACACACAACAGAATGAACAAAGAATTGTTTTAGTAGATTTTGAAACTCATTTGAACCATAAATGTTCAATCTTATGAGTGTAATTTACAGACAGCAACAGTTTCAGCTGGATTGGGCCTAACGGCCTTCTGTCTCTGGATCCAGCGCCTGATTATTTCCTTGATCTCTTTTGTTCTCAGACAGTAGACAAATGGGTTTATCACTGGAGGGAAGAGACTATAGAAAAGTGTCATGACTATTCGCTTGTCAGGGGTCAGTTTCAAGTTAGGGAAGTACGGTGCAGAGTAGACAAAGAAGCGAGGAACATAGTAGATAGAGATGATGAAACCTTGAGTGCCGCAGGTAGAAAAGGTCTTCTTTCTGCCCTGTGGAGAACAGTGAAGGATTAAACTTGAAACAAAACAAAAATAAAAACTAAATTCTATAATATAAACCATGAAGCTTCCTGTTTTCACAATTTAATGTCCACACTGATAAGAAAAAAAAATTGAATGTTTCTTTTTTGCAAGTTTTATTAATTTGGGGCAAAAAGGCGTGATATAATGTAAAACATGTAAAGATTATAACATTAACGTTACGATAAAATAATATAAGGGAGTAGCTTTCATCGAAATGAATACTTCAGCAACATACTGGGACAAAATGTGCTTTATCAAGTGGCTGACCTGTCAGACATATAAAGAAATAAAACAGAAAATGTATTATCGAGGGTGAAATGAGTTGAAACCCACCTGTCTATTGACAATGCGTGAAACTGAAATGACAATGAAGATGTAGGAGAAGACAATAAAGCCTAAAGGAGCATAAAGAACAAACATAGCTGCAACATAGGAGGCGTTGTACAGGTTGTCTACGTCCCCACATGCTAGACTCATTAGAGAAGAGGTGTCACAGAAGGCCTGGATTATTTGATTGGACCGACAGAATGGCATCTGGGCAAAATTGATGGAGCCAACCCCAGGGAAGACGTGAGACACGGCCCAGCAGAAGACAGTAAGGGCCGTCATGGTCTGGATTGTCATCATCATGGGGTATCTGAAGAGGGAGAGAGGGAGGGGGAGAGAGAGAGAGAGAGAGAGAGAGAGAGAGAGAGAGAGAGAGAGAGAGAGAGAGAGAGAGAGAGGTGATTTCTGTCATCTTAGATAAGAAATTCTTACAGCTGATATTTTCCAACCTGAGAGGAAAACAGATGGCCAGAAATCGGTCCACAGCCATGGTCAGCAAAATCAGGGAGTTCAAGCTGCCAAAATAATGGATCATGTGTCTTTGGAAGTGACACGTGTAAAAACCAATACTCCCATCATTCCACCAGTAGCGAGCGATGAGCTTTGGTAAAGCTACAGTAGAGAAGCCTGAATGGAACAAGGTCATGCATACATTTTTAAGCTGTTTTCAAAAACAAACAAAAGTTTAATCGTGCTTTATATAAAAAGATACATATTTGACCTATGTCGGAGAGAGCCAGGCTGACCATGACGATATACATGGGCTTCTGCAGGTTGTGCTCCAAAGCGAACATCACCACCAAAATCATGTTTCCCACCACTGTGGTCACGTATAAGATGAAGAAGAACCATGCCACCACCTGGAAATACTCCAGCTGGAGACTTGGAAAGCCCACAATGAAGAACTCTGATACATGGGTGTAGTTTTTATCCACTCCAGCCATCCTGCAGACAGAGTGAGGAGGTTCATCCATTAGCAGAGACTCAATGTGACAAACAGGAAGTGAGTAGAGCTTACCTCATCCAATGGCCTTGACCGTGTGATCCGTTTGACATGGAGACTCACATTTATATTGTTGCAGAGGAAGTGCAGGCTTGTTGATGCAGCCTTGTCTCTGAAGAGATAGATTAATTAGCTCACTCAGATATGAGAAACTTTAATAAACATACTTACCTAAGAAATGTTGAATGAGACTAAAGCATAACATGAACAAGGAACAGATGTTTGTTTTGGGAGAATTGCAAGATATGTATATATATATATATATATATATATATATATATATATATATATATATATATATATGTGTGTGTGTGTGTGTGTGTGTGTGTGTGTGTGTGTGTGTGTGTGTGTGTGTGTCCCTAGTCAAAGGTCATAACCATAGATGAGTGTTAGAATGTAGATAGTCAGGAAAATTGAGAGTTTCACCTTTTGGCTTAGATATCTTTTCACCAAGACAGACCGGTACAACACCTACATCACTGCAGTCACAGCGCCAATCTGCCTATTAAACCTCTCACCACATTTCCTCCTCATTTGTAAAAAAGAGCTTAAGATACTCCTCCACATCAGGCAGGACCTCATCCCTGACCCGGAGAGGGCACTTTACTCTTTCCTGTGAACTGCTCCATTGAAAGCTGGAGATTACTGTCCGATGAAAGCAACATGACTACATCATCTGCGAGTGGCAGAGACCCGATTGTAAAGGCGACCAAAATGGATCTTCTCAACACCTTGGCTCTACTTAAAAATCCTGTCTATTTTTTATTTTTATTTTATTTATTTATTGAGAACCTCATTAGCTCCCACCATAGTGTTGAGCTATTCTTCCTGAGGTCTCTTCCAATTTCATGTAACGTGATGAAGGGGCTGTTTCCACCAAGGATTTAATCTCTTTCCACAGTTGCCTCTGACACAGCGCTAGAGTGCATGAGACTGTCTCAAGGTCATGCATTTGCTTCTAAACAGTTTACTTTCCAGCAAGAGTGCAATGCGGCCTTGCCGGCTTATCAGTGGCAGGGCCGCCACATAACACCCCCCAAAAGGGTTAAGTGTCCCACAACCCTCAGTCTCCCATTTTGAAGTCCTGGAACCAGCCTGGCCGGCGCCAAGCACGCACTGGCCTCCCTGGTCTGACCAGTTCCCCCCCAAGTCCATCCACAGCCCCATCAGCAGCTGCTTTCCCCCCGGTCTGTGGCCGGTACGGCGCCAAACGGTCCTTGTGGAGGACCACCCGCCTACCTCGTCCAGGCAGGCGAACCCGGAAGACCACCGCAGAGATCTGGTCCAAAATTTCTGCGGGTCCTTGCCAGTAGCTCATCAGTTTGGGGGACAGGCCCTTCTTCCGGGTCGGGCAGGAGACCCAAACCTTGTCCCCCAAAGCCAACGAGGGTCCATGAGCTCTGGAGTCGTACGCCCTCTTCTGGCGAGCTCCAGCCACTAGCAGGGTGGTCCAGGCTAGCTGGTGGACTTCTTCCATCTGCTCCTTTAGGCGTCGCACATAATCCAGTTCGGGCCTCCCACAATCTCTGGCTCCGGAGCCGGCCCAAACACCAGATCCACTGGCGTCCAGAGCTCCCTACCGAACATCAGTGCCGCAGGAGTGCTCTAGCTGGACTCTAGCACCGCAGTGCGGTACGCCCACAACACCATCGGCAAATGTAAATCCCAGTCTCTCTGATGTTTACTGGTGAGGATCGCCAGCTGAGTCGCCAGAGTGCGTTTAAACCGTTCCACCAGCCCATCACTCTGGGGATGCAACGGATTGGTTCTAGTCTTTGCCACCCCCAACCGCCGGCACACCTCACCGAACAGCTGGCTCTCAAAGTTTCTCCCCTGATCGCTGTGCAGCTCCTCAGGTACTCCAAAACGAGAGAACATCTCGTCCACCAACCGTTGAGCTGTAGATGCAGCACTTTGATCCGGCATTACGTACGCTTCTGGCCACTTGGTGAAGTAGTCTATGGCTACCAAAATGTAGCGATTTCAAGCCTCTGTAGTGGGAAAGGGCCCGAGGATGTCCACCCCGACCCGTTCCATCGGTGCTCCAACCAGGTACTGTTGTAGCGGCCCCCGGGAGCGCTGAGTAGGCCCTTTTTGGCTGGTGCAGATGTCGCAGCAGTGAACGTGGTGTTCCGCATCCTGACGGCAGCCCGGCCAGTAGAACCTCCGCCGGAGCCGTCGCACCGTTTCTCTGTTGCCAAAGTGTCCCATCCCCGCTGCCCCTTGAACCCAGTAGAGGACTTTTGCTCGAAGGTTTCATGGCACCAGCCACTGCAAGTGGTCCATCCCTCCTCCCGGTGCCTGCCAGCACCGATACAGCACATCTCCATGCAGCTCCAAGCTGCCGAACTGTGAGTGCAGGTTCTTTAATTCAGCCCCACGCGAGAATACGGCAGGCCACTCTGGTCTCTGGGTGTCCCGAACCCAGATCCTCACCTCCGCCAGAGTAGGATCAGACTCCTGCTGATCTTTTAGTTTTCCATGGAGAACAACTCCCTCTCTTGTTCCTCGGTAGCTTCTGCCGCTGCAGCTGACGGTTCCTGGTGCTGCTTTCTCGCTGCTGCTGGAACAGGTTCTGGTTCTCGCTCTTCCTGGCGGAGACAGTAATGACACTCAGTCACTAAACATGGGCGCCAGGGACAGCGCGTCAGCGTTAGCATGCTGGCGACTGGTGCAGTGCAGGATCTCAAAGTCATACTCCTGCAGAATCTCCAGCCACCTAGCCACCTGTCCCTCCGGCTGTTTAAAGTTCAATAGCCAGGTGAGGCTAGCATGATCAGTCCGAAGCTTGAACTTGGTACCCAGCAGGTACGGCCGGAAGCGTCTCACAGCCAAAACCACCGCTAGCAGCTCCCGCCTGGTGACGCAGTAGTTCCTCTCGCTTCGACTGAGACTGCGGCTGTAATAAGACACAACCCTTTCTCCATCTTCACCTGTTTGGGAGAGCACGGCTCCCACTCCCACGTTGCTAGCATCTGTATCCAAAACAAAAGATTGGGTGGGGTCTGGATACAGCAGAACCAGCACGTCAAACAATGCAGTCTGGAGCTGGTGGAAAGCTGCAGTGCACTCCTCACTCCATTCGAACCACCTGCCCTTCTCGACTAACCGATGCAGAGGGCTAGCCACAGTAGAAAATCCTTTCACAAAGAGGCGGTAGTAGGAGGCCAAACCCAGGAAGCTCTGCAGCTCCGAGATGCTTCTTGGCACAGGCCATTCCTTCACAGCAACAACCTTAGCAGGGTCTGTTGTTACTCCCTGCTCGCTGATGACATGGCCGAGAAAATGGGTCTGGCGAGTGAGCAGTGTGCACTTGGCAGGATTTAACTGCAGCCCAGCCTGGCGAATGGCGACAAAAACCTCCCACAGGTTGCGAATAGCGTGCTCAAAGTCTTTAGCATGCATGAGCAAATCATCCATATAAACCACACGGCAGTTGCGAGGAATCTTCCGCAGAACTTGTTCCATCAGTCTTTCAAAAGTAGCCGGGGCGTTGCCGAACCCAAACGGCATCACTTGAAACTGCCACAGTCCCTGTCCAATCGTGAACACCGTTTTGGGTTTAGCCTCCTGCGCCAGCTCCACCTGCCAATATCCACTGCGTAGATCAAAGGAGCTGAACCAGCACGATCCAGCTACATGATCTAATGCGTCGTCAATGTGGGGCAGGGGGTATGAGTCTTTGTGCGTCAAAGCATTAAGCCTCCGGTAATCCACACAGGGTCGCCATCCACCCCCCTTTTTCTTCACCATGACAACGGGCGCAGCCCAGGGGCTTTCTGATGGCTCAATAACCCCGTTAGCTGCCATGTCTCTGATTAATTCTTCTGCTGCTCAGCGTTTGGCTAATGGCAGGCGATGAGGGCGGAGCCATACAGGAGCAGCGTCTCCTGTGTCTATGCAGTGTTGGACCAAGCTAGTCCGGGTGCAATCCTCTTCTCGAGCAGCAAAGATGTCTCCAAACTCTCGCAGTAATTGGCCCAACTGCTCTCGTTGCTCCGAGCTGAGGTGTTCCTCTCTACGTTGTTCCAACGCCTCCATAGCAAGCATGGCCTCAGGTGACGGGGCCATAGTAGCAGGGACTGGCTTCTGTCCAACCTCAAGGCTTTCGCAGTCGTCGTCGAACGACTGCGAAAGCCTGGAGAGGAATCCTCTCTGTATCCAGGCACAAAGCAGTTCCTTGGACATCAACACATGCGCCCCAGCACGTTAATAAATCCAGCCCGATGATGCAATCATCTCGAATGGCAGCGATCCAGAACTCCTGCTCAGCTCAATGAGTTCCGAACACCAACGATAACAGTCCCTTTCCCGTCATTGTGTTTTTTTCCTCCAGTCACGGTCAGCAATGCGGTTTCGGTGGGACTCCAGCCTACCGGGAGGAAACCCTCAGTCTCTGGCAGGAATCCCTTCCGGACCAGACAGATGGTGGACCCCATATCCACCAAGGCTCGGCATCGTTGTCCTCTGACAACACAGTCCAATTTTAGACCATGAACCGGCACGCAGCGGCCGATGGATGGCAGGTTAACTCCAAGGGGTGACGTTGCGCGTGGTGGGAGTCCCCTTACTGTCCCACCCTACTGGTGTTTCCCGCAGCTTGCGGCCTCCGCAGGTCCGAACCTGGGCCGAGGACTTGGGGCTGGGCAGTCTCTGGCTAGATGTCCCGGTTTCCCACAGCGGTAGCAGAGGCCGGTGGCTGGTCTCTGTCTCGGGGTCTGCTCCAGCCAGGCCTGGTTGACTTATCTCCTCTCCTCCAGTGCCTCCTCTTGTTCAGCCGTTCTCGCCAGCGGCGATTGCCCACACTGTCCAACAGGTATCACCTCCTCCACTTGTTCAGCTCTCCTAAGCTCTTCAGCCAAGGTGATGGGGAAGGTCAATCTGACGTGTTGACGTAATGGTTCCGGTGTTAGCCCTCGTAGGAATGCATGCAGGCTTAAC